CTTATCAGCTGGTTGTGCGTTATGTAGAATGAATGCAATGGCAAAGCAAAAATAAAAACAAAAACAAAAACAAAACATTATCCGACTTGGTAGGAAAATTGATAATAAGAAAAACTGATTCCGAATTTATCACATAGACTACTTACTTACTACCCATTTTGCTAGTAGGATAAAACGAGAGAAGAGATGGAATTATTGAGTGCCCGCCCGAGTGAGCAACTAGCAAGTACGTTTTGTACTTAACAGAAGAAATATAAGAAAAAAAGTTTTTTTTTTACTTTATGGTAATAAAATGAAAACTGATAAGCTCACATTATAAAAAAAAACAGGCAAACAGACAAACCGACATACAGACATTGAGACGCATAGACGTTGAAACGCAGAGACGTAAAGACGCAAAGACGCAAAGACACAGAGACATAGAGACAGGCAGAACAGCAGACACAAACTAGATCAAATTTTTATGATAACAATTTTTCAAAGAAAAAAAATATTAACACTGAACATAGTACGTTGAAGTTAGCGAAAGGGCAAGTGTATAAACAAGTTATCACTAATAGCAGCAATAAACATGCATGTCCATATATACAGGAGTATGTAGACATGTATGTATTTTAATGATTTTCATAATATGAGTCTAATCCCATTAAGCAAACAATCATATAAAATGCACAAACATATATTTTAATACTCATTTCATATATAAATATAAATATACATATATATATATATATGAATATATATGTATGTAGATATATGTACGTAAGATTGCTTATGCATATTTAAAAATGAGTGTATGTTCAACCGAATTCAGATACAATTATACAGAAAGCTTATCAGAACGCAATAATCAGAATTCCATTAGCTGCAGACTAACTATCGCATAATAGCACCACTGCGAGCACCGCCACTAGTTCCAATACATATCCGTATCCGCTTGTGCACTTATTTGTTCATAACCAGTCGTCCGCCTCAATTTTTCTGTGAGGTAATATACTTGCATACAAACACACAAGCACACAAACACACACATTGATATAAACGTACGTACAAATGTACATATACACATATCTTAATTCGATGTTGGTTAGCTGTTGTTGGTCGATGTTATCTAAATGCGCTGTGCGCTTATCACTGCTTTATCAATTTTTGTTTTGAAAATTTGAACTAACGAAGAAACCAACGAACGAACAAACGAACGAATAAGCAAACGTTGGAGTACGAAACAACGTGTTGATGGAAAACAGGGCAAAGTGAAGCGATATCTTATTTCGTATTCAGCCAACCAGGCAAGTAATAGCAACAGAATTTTAGATTCGCAAATACACAAAATAACAAAAGATAAACAATACCAACGAATGCTACGAATGCGACGAGTTGAACTCAGTTGAGCTCAACTGAGCTGAGCTGTGCTGTGCTGTGCTGTGCTATGTTGAGCTAAACTGAGCCAAGCCAAGTTGAATTCACTACACAACACACTGCACAGCACAATATTGTACACTATGCAGTGTAGAGTGTACAGTGTACACTGTTAATGCCGCCGCCGCCACCGCCACCAACATACACCAATGCCATTAGTAACATCATTAAAACAAGCAACAAAAACAAACATTACCACCAACACAGTAATATTACCACCATTTCCATCAGTGTTAATACCAACACCATCGTCATCACTAACATCAGCTGTACAAGACACAGTACACTAGCCAAATAAAGGAGAGTAAAAACTTAACCCAGCAAAAAATCCATAGAGCACCAAGTCTGATATTAGGCCGTTTGCGAATTCGAGTAAATTGAGGTAAAGTATATATTTACACTTATGTAAATATGTATTCATTTATTTATTGCACTTATTTATTATTTTTGGTTAAAAGTATTCTAATTTATTTATTGATTTATCAAACATCTTATAAAATTTTCACAATGGTAATACATAATTTACCGAATTTTTATCTAATTTATCCTACTCGTAATTCTGGTAAACATTCGCTGCCATACCGATATAATTCACTATATTTCTCAGTTTATCTTCAATTTACACGAACTCGCACACGGCTTTTGTAACATTTACAATAATATAGAGAAAGTCAATAAAATTTGATTCATCCGGGCTTAAGGTCTATTATTTAAAACCTGAATTGTTAATAAGGAACGTTTATTAAATTTTTGTGTTAGTTTCAAATTTATTGAAAAAAAAAAATTAATAATACTATATTAAATTTGATTTTTTGACGAAAGAAACTATTCTCTTAGTAGAAACTATTGTTTTAATAGAAAGATTTTTCGAGCAGTAGTGAATTGCAATAACAAAGTTTTAATTTTTTGAAATCAAATGAGAGAGAGAGATAGAGAATTTTCGGCTAACCATAAAACTGAATATTGCCAAAAACGTATAATTAGTAATATTTTTTTGGATATATTTTTTATATATAAATATTTGCAAAAATAATTTTTTACGATTGTAAGTGCCAAGGGTTAAATTTGTGCCCTGCCAAATTTGAAGCTCCGAGTCAGTATTAATTAGCTAACTACACAAAGCCATAGTAGACTTTTATGGAGTTTTGTTGACATGTTATAAAAGTCCATTTACAATTTTACTTGCATGTATTATATTAAAATGAAATTATAAACCAGCTACAAAATAATTTAATTAATTAATTATACTTACTTCTAATTGTTCGATTTCAGTACTATTAACAATTAATTTCTAAAATATGTAGAGAGAGTCGGTAAAGAAGAATATTGAAGCAACAATAGAATATATTAAGAAGTATTTAGACGTAACTTAAGAAAATGTTGAGGTTGAAGTCAGTAAAGTTTTAAAATTCAACTACCAAAACAGCAGATTTTGTTTTTGTTTGGATTTGGTTTATATTTTCTACGTTCAATACGATATTTATACTGAATGAATAATAATTTTTCATATGTATTATTATCTAATTTTGTATGTAAACAAAAATTTGTATATGCCTCTGAATATGCATGGGCATGTGTGAAAATATTACCAAAAGTCAAATAAGTGTAGACGCAAAGTAAGCAACAAAGTAATTCAATTTTTGTAAGTATATAAACGACTGATTAATATAACACATAACCATTAATATTTATTGGTGATCCATGTTAGCAAACAACAATTCGAATCTTGTAGGTAATAGCCATATATCTCACCAAACTTCAAGCCAATATAATTGTAGTGTATCAATTTCAATCAATTTTTAGTTAATGGAATGGTTATTGCTTCACGTTCTAGTTGATCTCATTCTCGTTTATTGAAAACCAACTATAGTCTTCAACACACTGAAGATGACTATTAACTGTATTCGAAATATGCACTATAGTCTAAGTAAAAAATAGTTTAAAAAACTATTTTTTATATATTTAAAAGCTAAGATTAATAGGAAAAAGTATTTTACTTCGTATAGATATACATTTTCAATACACTAGCAGTGTTAATGAGATTTATCTAATATATTAATAAACTATTAATAAACTATTAATTTATAATTATTAATTAATTATTAATTGATTATTAATTATTATTACTAATTAAATATTTAATTAATTATTTTATATATATTTTTTATAACATTTAAAGTTGAGATTTACAGCGAACTACTGTCTTACTTCAGTAGTTCAAAACATTTTCTATATATTTTAATTTATGTCATTCGATAATATGTTACACTAACATAATTAATAAAAACTAATTAATTTATTAATTTGTAATTTAACTTCATATTTTTCTGACGGAAGTGACTACTATATAAAAATAAAAATATAATTAATTAATTTAATTATTCTATAGCATGTTTATGATTTCATTTTAATATAAAACACAGCAAATGAATTTGTTAACAAAATTTTCATAGCAAAGTAACAAAATTCCAGAAAAGTGTGCGAACATAAAAACTCAAGTACGGCTTTAAGTCAGTTGGTTAAGGTGCGCTGACTCTAAACTTCAAATTTACCTTGCAATCTTAAAAAATGATTAACGAATAATTAAATAGAACAATTATTTACAAAGGTCAGCCAAAAATTCAATTACTTAAAATAATATAAAATAAATTTTTGTTATTGCAGTTCACTACTGTACGAAAAACTTCTTTAATTTATTAATTAATTATTAATTTAACATTATGAATATATTAATTATTATTAGTTATTATAATAATTTTATTAATTATTTATATAGTTAGTTATTTTAAATGTATTCTATACAGCATTTAAAATTAATATTTATAAGTATTTTGCTTCAGTAGATATATATATATTAATATGTATGTTTTATATATATTTTAATTTGTGCCAATTGATAATAGCAAATATTTACTAGCAGCGTTTGTATTGAATTGAGTTGACTACCTAAATTGCCTGCTGGGTCTGTATGAGAAGAGAATAAAATTCTGAGTTCACAGTTTTCTTGTGTGAAGCAATCATAAACTGAATGTAGTGCAGAGCAAGCAGAAGTCGAACGCGATGAGCGTATAGAAGGCACACTGCTGCCATGAGTATCAAGTATCTCACAGTATAATTTTCATTAATTTGCCGCTAGTTCAGTGTGTCGTTAAACGCCAAACGAATGGTAGTGTGCTGTACTGTCGCGGATAGTCGTACGCGTGTGTATATGTGTGATATTTAAACAAATCGCGCGTAATGTTTTATTTTAAAACAATTATTCAATAAATGATTGATTTCTTCATTATATACATGAAGAGTGCGTGTTTCGGTTGTTTTACAAAAAGAATTTATCAATATAAAATTAATAGAATGCCAAAAAAATAAACAATTGCAAGTAAATTAAAATTCAATTTTTAATAAAATAATTATTGCTTCTTTTTTGCTCTTTATTTGTTGATATTATAAATTTTAAATTATTTCAACACTTAACTAATTCCACATAAAACTCGTTAACATCAACAACATCGACAACATCGACAACAGAACAAAACTAATAATGTAATTTATATATGTAAAAAATAAAAGTGCTGATAAAAATCTATAAACATCAAGATTTTTGCTTGCATATACCCGTTCTCCCATATATATTTTATTTATAAATTTATTTATAAATTAAATTTTTTATTTGTGTGGCGATAATTCAGTACGCGGCGCATCTGTGTTGGCTTGGCTAATGATGTTTGGTAATCCATAAAAAATAAATTTATACAATGTTAAATACAATATACAAAATACAAAACACAATATACAAAATACAATATACAATATCAATACAATATCGAGTAGAGTACATTTACAGAAACAAAACAAAAACAAAATCCAACAAAACAAACAAATAACAAAAACGATTATTTCAAGATTATAATTACATTTCATATGAGATAAAACAAAAGCTTCAATTTCAAGTTTAGTATCAACAAAGGAATTTGATATTATGTAGATAAGTCGAGAGATATACTTACGGAATACTGTGGAATATTGTTGTATTTTGTGCGAGTACGAGTACTAGTACGAGTACGAGTATTGCTAATGATAAGAACTGCTCGCCATTCGCCACTCGCTCAATGCATTTTCGTTATTAACTCCACTGACATGTAAACATTTAGTGACTTATTTTGTTAATATTTTAATATATATTTTTTTTGTTTTGTTTTTGCATTTTGTATTGATAAATTAAAATTAATTATTCACTAAGTGACAGTAATTAAAAAAAAAAAAAAAAAATTAACTAAGTAGAGTGTAATAATTATTATTAGATCTGGAAAGCCACATTGAGGCATGTAACTCTAACTATTATACATTATTAAAAAACAATTATTGATCAGGTCTTTAAAAGATTAACCTGTTTTACGTTTGATCTTGAAAACTTTGGAAAGTGATCAATCTCTACGGAACTACAATATATGCTTATATTTCTTAAATATGCACAACATATGTATATAGCACTTAATATAGTCTAATTGTATAGTAATTTGAAATCATTTGAAAAAATATTTATATTCAACAATAAATAAATTGTAAATTTTACAAGTTGATTGAACCCAAATAGTTCGGGACACATTTTTAAATATAGTTGCATTTTTATACAATAAAATAATATCATGTTTTCACTGCAACTAAAACTACTTAAGTTAATGAAATTAAGATTTGATCGTTTCCATTGACATAAACTGATTTATGCATGTGAAATACATAGTTTATTTATTTACATTTTACATATAAAACATATGACAAATATTTTGAATTTGATCATTTCCACTTCCATGCTAATCTTAAATCAAATGATTTATTTATAATAAGCTCAATGTTCTTTATATAGAAAATGTTCACATTTTTTGTCTTAAATTAATTGATTTATTTATAATAAGCTCAATGTGCTTCAATGTGAAATAAAGATTAGATCGTTTTCATCGGCATAAACTGATTTATGCATGTGAAATACATAGCTTGTTTGTTTACACTTTACATATAAAATATATGACAAATATTTTGAATTTGATAATTTCCACTTCCATGCTAGTCTTAAATCAAATGATTTATTTATAATAAGCTCAATGTTCTTTATATAGAAAATGACCACATTTTTTGTCTTAAATCAATTGATTTATTAATAATAAGCTCAATGTGCTTTGTATGGAAAGGAATCTTAATAAGCAAAATAGCCGATATGAGACAAGTGGAAACATGGTATAAGAATGATAACATTGGGGTATTAACAGCTGAAAAATATCTCATATATTGCAAGTGTTTCTTCACCAAAGTAACGAGCCTTAAATATCCTTTTTCGACAATGGGGTATAGTGTAGTTCATTTAAGAAGGACGTAACAATAATTTGCATAGTAATACCGGTTTTAAATATTTTTTTAGGTATTTAATTAGTTGTTGTTCATTGGCCTTTCTTGATAAAATTGACTAGATCACAATGAAACAACTTAACCTAAATATAACAGCTGCTAACTTATGTCAGAAAGTCGACGGCCACTTGTATCTACCTATCTAAATAGAAGAAAATCTGCTGTCAAATAAGTACTTTCCTCTAACAGTATAATTCAAAGAATTAAAAAAAATTTTAGCTAAAAGCAAATAAAATTAACAATATTAAAAGTATTACTAGAATACTACTATTTTAGAACCACTATTTTTCTAGTAGTTCTAATACACAACATAACACTTAATATTGGTTAAAGGACTAATAAGACAAAAAATTTTAAATACAATTTAAATTTATTCAATAATATAGTCTCTTTCTAGAAATGATAAATTTATTTCAATACTTTTGTTACATGTCGATATTTTTTTTTAAGAGTTTCTGATTCCCAAGCTTCAAATAGGCTTTAGTTTCGATAATCACTTCTTCAGTGCAGCATTTTTTCCGTCCCATTTAGTTCTGTAAATAAATTATATTGTCTAAAAGCCTGATACACTGATAAGGTAAATGGAGAAGCGATTGGTAGTGTAATTTTTATAATTGACAAATTTTTTCCCTATATTTGTGCTCATATCTTAATCATTTTTTGCTTTAAACTTACCATAAATGTCATATAAAATTCACTCAAGGTAATTGATGTTTAAAATACCATGGTTATCCTAACCTATGGAAACCAAAACCATAACAGCTGACTTGTAGCGTATCCAGGGACGGATTAGGGAATAGATCGCGCCTTAAAAATATAATCTACAGATAATACACTGCAAAAACAATACCAACAAAAGTATTTTCTAGTATATTTCTCCCTTGGCACAATTCTAATTACTCTATTGCAGTTGACAGTCAATTTTTGGGCGTTTTGGGGAGCTTTGATCATATATTAATCAACTGATTATAAATTTGATTCTTACGTCTAGTGATGGTTTTATATTTTTTCCATTATCGCATGTTGCATTTTCCATTAAAAGGTTTAAACATGTCTATACAGATCCCGATAATGCAATGAGGTTTATATTCTCTATTATTTTGCAAATCACAAAACTACTATAATATCACATATTTAATATTATAAAGATCTTTAGTTATTGTTAATCAAACATTAGATTCTTTTTAAATTCTATCACGTGTCGTTTAAACTATTTCACTAACTTTTCATTAATCATATCGATTTGTCAATAGTGACGCCATCTGTGTTACGCCCCACGAAGTAACTTAATATAATTGGAAAAAAATATGATTAATAAGTTATTTTTTAATAATTATTGTTTGCAATGTTCAAAATGTACGCCCGCCATAATAAAAAATGCCCTAAGCAAAAATCCATAGTGTTGTAAATTTAAGTAAATAGAGTGAGTAGAGTAAAGTAGAGTAGAGTAAAAGTAGAGTAGAGTGAATAAAATGAGTAGAATCTTTACTAAGATATTTTTTCATATGGTACATCTAGAGTTGGATACAATAACTTTGTTTGCGTTATAACAGTGTTCTGTATAAACCAGTATTCGGGGTGTACAGGGATATAACTATTCGAAAAGATTAACTATAATTGGTTTAATTTTGCTTTATCTCTAATGTAAGGAGTTCAACAAAAGTGAGTTCTGTTAACATAAATAAAATATACAAAAAAAAAAAAAAATTATTTGAACAAATAGGCGCTTTTGGCTTCTAAGTCCACGGGACATCTGTCTCCTCAAATTCTCACTCGTGTCGCCACTGGTCAATTCATAACTTAAATGGTGTTTCATTAAAAATGTTTATTAATTTGTTGTCCATTGTATTCCATTTCTATTTTTTTTTTAAAAGTGATGTGTTACAAAACTAAAAAAAGAAACCAAAAAAAAAAAAATTGATTGATGCCAATTAGTTGGGTCTTCCTATGCGGAAACTAGTTGTCAACCTTGTTACCTTCAGAAGCGTTCACTTCACCGATGCCTGCGTACGGCAGCGAAAAATATTCCAAATTTATTCAAAAAAGCAAATTTAAGAAACGTATTTAAAGCGAATAAAATAGAATGTAATAGATAAAAAATAGTTTAAGTGATACTAAGAAATATTGGTGTCATTCCTATATATTTATCTGAAATAATCACAATTTTAACTGATAAAATTTTTAGTGTCAAAATAAAATTAATCAAAAATAAGAACTATAAAAGTAACAACACCCTTTTCATCTTAAACTGACTAAAAGATCGTTATACATTGTGACCGAAAAGCTTCCGGAAATTTTAAATAAAACGCAAAATTCTTAATCTTCATCAATATTTATTTTATCTCCTTCAAAATATGCTCCATTAGAAGCGATACACAAATGCCAACGTTTCTTCCAATCATCAAAACATTTTTTATAGGCGCTTTCCGGTATGGCTTTGAGTTCCCTCTGCGAATTCTGTTTTACGTCTTCTATGGATTCAAAACGCGTTCCTCTGAGTGGTAATTTGAGGTTGGGAAACAGGAAAAAGTCACACGGTGCAAGATCAGGTGAATACGGTGGCTGTTCGATGGTATTTATTGAATGTTTGGCCTTAAAATCGTTGATAATGTTGAACAAATTGAGGTGAATCGGAACAAGCCGGGCGTTGACACGTCGCATACACAAATTGTCCACCAAAATCAAACGAGCCATCTCACGACCGATGCCTAGCTCTCGTGCTATCTCTCTAACACTCACATGAGGATTTTTGAACACGATTTCCTTTGCCTTTTCAATGTTTTCGTCGGTGGTAGAGGTCGAAGGTCGTCCAGAACGCGGCATGTCTTCGACGGTCGTACGACAGTCCTGAAAGGCTTTGTACCACTCATAAACTTGAGTTTTCGATAAAACTGATTCCCCATAAGCCTTTTGTAGCATTCGCAACGATTCTGCACACGAAATTTCGTTCGAAAAACAAAATTTGATGCAAACTCTTTGTTCAATATTTTTTTCCATTGTTTTTTTCGCAACGCACTACTGAGGTGAACTGGTTTCAACAGCTGCCGTAAACGAACTGTCTGACAGATCGCGCTCATTTTTGGCATAGTAATTAAGGACAGTGCTGCCAAACTACATAAACTTAAAATATCGAAAAATATACAGCGCGCGAATTTTAAATGAGAACCTCCGAAAACTTTTCGGTCACAATGTATAGATGAGATAAATATGCGCTTAGAAATACTTGTTTATCGTCGTTTTCTCAGTAATCAAAGCAGGACTTACAATCAAAATAAAGAGTGAACCACTCCAATAGAAATGTTTCAGACAGAACCCAAAACATGGCTAA